CCAATGCAAGGCGGAGCTTCGACAGCGGCGCACGCCGCCTGGCTGCCGCCGCTTCTCCTCGCCGCCGCCGCGAGGCCCGCGAGTCGGTGCCTGGGCTTCAGCGACCTCCCGCGTCGACCTCTTGATTCTCTCCTCCGCAGCAGCCTCCTCGCCTTCGGCCCCAAGCGCCCAGCGTCGCGATTTTTTTCGCGGCGTCGGCCCGCCAATCTTCAGAAACCTTTCCCGGGACAGCCTTTTCGCGCCCGGTCGTTTCTCGGCGACGATGGGGCTCGATGGGGCTCGATGGGGCCCCCCTGCAGGACGCGCTTTCAAAAACCAATCCACGCCAGCCCCGCGAGCGCCGGGGTCGCTATCATCCATGTGAACACTCTGCGCTCTACTAGCCGCGCTAACCCTATGATCCCCATGAGCGCCAAGCGCACTGCGGCATTCTGAGCTCCATGAGCGCCCTGAGCCCCATGGGCCTCGCGAGCCCCGTGGGCCCCGTGAGCCTCATGGGCCGCGCGGACCGCATGAGCTCAATGCGCCCCATGAGCCCAATCAGATCTACGGGCCCAATGCGCGAGAGGGATGAACGAGCAAGAGGTGGCAAGTAGCAAATGCCTGGGCGCAAGGCGCCCCCGCCAGCCGGGGCTACTCTTCGCGATTAGGGGGGCAAAATGCTAAGGTCCTGCACGAGGCCTGCCTCCGCCCATGCCTCGGCCAATCGGGTTTCGATGGGGGGCGAAATCGCAGGCCGAAGTCGGGGTCGCCAGCCTGCAGGTCTGGGCCCGCGCATCGCGCAACTCTGCCAGGCCGTCGGTACTCCGCAAAAGATCGCGGATATTCTCCCCAAGAGCAACGCACGCGCGCTCAGATGCATCGAAACGTTAAGCGAAGACCGTTCGGCGCGACGCAGTTTCCAGCGATCGCTCTAAAATGAACGCGCGCATGGTGACATCATGCGCTAGCAGGGGCGCGAGAAGAAAGAAGACAGGACACATGCATGGCGGGAGAGAAGCAATGGGCGGATTGAGATAGCAAAGGACAACAGGAAGCGAGAAGAAAAGGGCGTCGAAGTGCACCTGCGGGGGGGGGGATAGCGACCCCCCACCCCCCGACGAAAGACGACGCGAAAGAATGATGGAAAGAAACTTGAACATGGGGGACAATCGAGAGACAATTCAGACCCGAATTCAAGTGATACCAAGATCGACGTTGTGACAAAAGCTTGTCAACTAGATGGCGCAAAACGTAAAAACGTGAGCCACTCCAGGCATCAAAATTCTACGATGGTCATTAAACTATGTGTCAAATCTGTGATGCCGCATCAAATTAGGAGTCATGGGGACGATGCTTTGTATATGTCGCGTTCAGACGCCTTCCCATGAGGAGTGAAATATACGGCATCAATTTCGATAAGATTGCTGTCTGATAACAGACCGCCCCATCATCTGAAGCTATTGCGCAGTCCTTCCACTGGCGCTGCACAACTCAAAATGGGCAAAGAGATCCGTCGCACCACCTGAAGCTATTGCGCCGCCCTTCGCGTGGCGCAGCACAAGCACAACTCTGAATGAACAAAAACGTAACGATGGTCACATGGCCCAGAGGGCAAAGCAAGAACGGCTGATAACCTGTGAGAGGGATGAACGAGCAAGACAGCCAGTCACCATATACCGACCCCCTGTGGCATGGCGCTTGCACAGGGCACTTGGCCGCAGGACACTCCACAGAGACGCGTGCGCTTTGAGGGTCACGCACAGAGAGGTGAGAGAAGAGGACAACTGCGGGCGTCGCCACCGGCCTGGCCCGAGACATCATCCACACAATGTCACCGGTGAACCCACGAGAATCGCAAGCGCGATGGGCATATGAGCACAATGAGCCCGACGAGCCGTATGAGCCCCACGGGCCCAATGAGCCCTTTGTCGCCTATGAAACTTATAGGCCCAACGAGCCCGATGAACTCTATCAGCATCGTGGGCCCTACGGGCCACGCGACCCAAAAGAGCCCCAACGGCCTCATGAACCGTATGAGGCCCATGGGCCTCATGACCACTATTACCCCGACGACCCCTTCTGACCCACATGAGCCCTATGATCCCAACTAGCACAATGATTTCTTTGATCCCATGAGCTTCACGAGCGTTCTGAACCAGCCCGCTCCGCGGCCCAGGAGCCCGTAATTTCTGTGATTCCAGGGGCCCTACGGACCTGCAAGCCCAATGAGCTCATGCGCCTGGAAAGCTCTCAGAACCCAAGTAATTACGGCTGCGGGCGCTCGCACCCTCATGATCCCAAGGAGCCGCCCCTCTTCTACATTAGCGTTCCGAGCTTTTGGACCCCGATGGCGGCGGCGAGCCCTTGAGTCCTCTGACGGGGAAGAGCCCATGGGTCAGATCAACCCCGTGAACCCCATGATCCCATGGCCGAAGTGCGCCACAGTGCTGGCGACAATCAGTCGCGGCGAGCCTCTCTAGCGCCATGCGAACAAGTTTTTAGAAGGCGAAGCGAAGCGAGCTGGTAACATCTTCTGTACTTCTATATATATATATATATACGTATACAAGACTGCATTGGCACTTCGCGCCATGCACCTTTTTCCTTGTGAGTTCGAATGCAGGCGGCGTGCGCGCGCGTGGACGCGGGGCCGGCCACCGCCAAGTCGGAGGGGTCAGGATCTCCTAAGCGGGAGCGATTTAACAACGCCAGCTCTGGCCAGCTCAGGGCGTTTCTGTGCCCAGAGGCGCGAGTAAATCTCAGGCGACTGGTTGCTTCCTCCGCATTTTCCTCCCCCTCTTTCTCCTCTTCATCTTCATCCTCTTTCTGCTCTTCCCTCCTTTTCCCCATTCCGCTTCCCAGGCTGGCGCAACTGGGCCCAGAGAGTGGGGCCCCAGAGATGGACAAATGTAGGAATATCATGGGAAAAGCAAGGTTTTTGGTCTTCTCGCCTTGTCGCTTCCGATTGGCTCTTGAGGCGTCCAGATACCTCCAAAACGACTCCAGATTAGGCCCCAGACGAGCTCCAAGAGACCCAAGCAAGGCTGGCGCAACAGGGCCCGAAGAGTGGGAAAAAACAGAGAAAATCCGCAGTAAAAAAACAATGTTTTCGGCCTTCTCGCTTGTACACTTCCGCTTGATTCCGGGGGCGTCAAAACGACCCCAGGATGACCGCAGCAAGGCGCAAGACAGGCCCGAGGAGGCGAAATTCGTTTTGAGGGGGGGCGCGCTGGGGTGTGGGCTCCCCAGCCCTATAAAAAAATATACATCGGAATATCTGGTATATACACGACTTCCCTTCGGGTGGTAAGAAGATTGGGGAAAGAGGATCGAACCAATTGCTGGCAACTGCGGGGCACCACTGGACAACATGGGACACAGCCGGACACCACCGGGACACCGCAGGACACCACGGGACACCATTGGACACCACGGGACACCATCGGGACACTACGGCGGGACACCGCGGACACCATCGGGTCAACGCGGGGCATCACGGTGAGACACCCCCAGCCACCGCGCGCCCACAGGAGGGCCGGAGTTTTGTATTCCAATCGCCCTAGCGACAGCGGGAATCGCGCGCCCACGGCGAGACACCGCGGAACACCATCGGGACACCGTGAGACACCACGGCGGGATACCCCCAGCCACCGCGCGCCCACCGGAGGGCCAGATTTTTGCATCCGAATCGCCCTAGCGACTGTGGGATCATTCCTCCCACGCGCTCACACAGCTTCCCTCGCCCGCACGCACGACACGAACACGAAACCGAAACCGATTTCCTGGTGGGGGGATCTCTGTCCCACTGCGATCTCACCTCCCAGCCTCCGATACATATATCGGAGGTTGGGGGGTGAGATCGCAGTGGAACAGAAGCCTCCAACTGGGAAATCGTTTCGTTTCCTTCGTCTCCTGCGTGCGGGCGAAGCGAAACTGCGTGGGCGCTTGAGAGGAATGAGCCCGCAGTTGCTAGGGCGAGAACAAGACAAATGATTATCCCCCGCCCGCCCGCCCGTCTTGCGGTGGCTCGCGGTGTCCCGCCGTGTCGCGTTGAGTCCCGTGGTGTCCGCCGTTGCTTTGGCAAAACCAAGACACATGATTATCCCCCTCCCGCCCGCCCGTCCGGCGGTGGCTCGCGGTGTCCCGCGGTGTCCTGCGGTGTCCCGTGGTGTCCCGTGGTGTCCCGTTGAGTGAGATCGATAGTGAGATCGATAATGATATCGATAGTGAGATCGATACTGAGCGAGCTCGATATGGTGCCACGAAGTGTCCCGTGGTGTCCCAAAAAGTGAAGCCGATAGTGAGATCGATAGTAAAAGCGACAAGTGTCCCGTGGTGTCCCGTGGTGTCCCGTTTGAGTGAGATCGATAGTGAGATCGATACTGCGATCGATGCGGTGCCCCGAGGTGTTCCGTAGTGTCCCGAAAAAACACATCGTTAGTGAGATCGGTAAGGAGATCGCCAGTTGTCCCGTGGTGTCCCGTGGTGTCCCGTGGTGTCCCGTTGAGTGAGATCGATAGTGAGATCGATAGTGATATCGTGAGATCGATACTGTGTCCTGAGGTGTCCCGTGGTGTCCCGTGATGTCCTATGGTGTCCCGTTGAGTGAGATCGATAGTAAGATCGATACTGAGACCGATAGTGAGATCGAGAGGTGTCCCGCGGTGTCCCGTGGTGTCCCGTTGAGTGAGATCGATAGTGAGATCGACAAGTGTCCCGTGGTGTCCCGTGGTGTCCCGTTGACTGAGATCGATAGTGAGATCGATTGAGTCAGATGTTGATTCCCCCCTCTCCCCCCGCACAACCTCCTTATCACCCGAAGGGTGGTCGTATAGGTGTATATATATACATACACGTCGAGAAATATATCTACAACAAAAGAAAGAAGAAAAGAGAGAGAGAGAGAGAGAACCGTAAGGGGACGGGATGGCGGGGAGGGGAGCGGAGGAGAGGGCGGCGTGGGCGGGCAGGAATGAGGAGCGCGGCCTCCGCTCGTGGCCCGGAGTGCGGGGCGCGGCTCAGCTCACGGGCCGCCACGGCCTCGCCCTGGGCGCCGCGGCCGCGAGGCCCGCGTTCCGGAGCTGGCCCCGCAGGCGCTCCGTGTGCTCCTCGGGCGCCCCGCCAGCCCCTCCTCCCCCCCCTCCTCCTCCTCCTCCTCCTCCTCCTCCTCTCACTCCTCCTCCTCTCCCCTCCTCCTCCTCCTCCTCCTCCTCTCCTCCTCTCCTCCGCCTTCTCCTCCCTACCTCCCCCCCGTCCTCCCCCTCCTCCTCCTCCTCCTCCTCCTCCTCTCCTCCTCCTCCTCTCTCCTCCCTTCCTTTCCCTCTCCCCTCTCCCTCCCTCCTCCGTCCTCCTTCCTCCTCCTCATCCTCCTCCTCCTCCTCCTCCTCCCCCTCCTCCCCCTCCGCCTCCTGCCTCCTTCCTCCTCCTCCTCCTCCTCCTCCTCCTCCCCTCCTCCTCCTCCTCCTCCTCGCTCCTCCTCCTCCTCCGCCTCCTCCTCCTCGCTCCTTCCTCCTCCTCCTCCCCTCCTCTCCTCCTTCCTCCTCCGCCTCCTCCCTCCTCCCCCTCCCCGTCCTCCCTCCCCCTCCCACCTCCCTCTCCCCCCTCCCCCTCCCTAAAAAAACACCTCCCCTCCCCCTCCCCTTCTCACCTCCCCCTCCCCCTCCCCCTCCCCCCTCCTCCGCCTCCTCCTCTCTCCTCCTCCTCCCCTCCTCCTCCTCCTCCTCTCCGCCTCCTCCTCCTCCTCCTCCTCCTCCTCCTCCTCCTCCTCCTCCTCCTCCTCCTCCTCCTCCTCCTCCGCTCCGTGTGCTCCTCGGGCGCCCCGCCAGCAACCATCTTCGACAGCGCGCTGCCCAGGATCTCGGAGGGTACCCGGAGAGGCGGGGTGCTCTGGAGCGCCGCGTCCGCGGCCTGTCGGCTACACGCAGGGAGCGGCCCTGGGCAAGAGGGGCCCTTGGCGCGCAAGCCAGGGGGGGTCACGCGGTGGGGGGCCAGGCCCAATCGCGCAAGTCGCTGCTGTCGGATGGCACCCGACGGTCGGGGGGCCCCAGTGGGCCCGCACCAGAGGCCACTCCAGCGAAGGGCCACTCTCACGTATAGCCAATAGAGGAACAAAAACGTCATAAACACAAACTTTTAGCGCTGCGCGCGGATTTCTTGGATCTGCGCTGGGCCCCCCTCCCTGGCGCGCGGAGCGCGCCAGGGGCGGCGCCGGAGGCGCCGCCGGGGGGACCCAGCGCGGATCAAAAAAATCCGCGCGGAGCGCCCAAAGTTTATGTTTATGGCGTTTCTGTTCTTCGACTTACGTGCAGCCGAGGCCTCGAGCACGCGGTCCCACCGCTGCGAGGCCGCCATGCCGGGCAGCAGGGTGGACAGGGTGGTCACGTCGGGGGCCACGCCGCTGGAGCGCATCAGCTCGTACGCGGCCCAGGCCTGGTCGTAGCTCCTGGTGCGCAGGCAGCCGCTCACGAGGCAGGTGTAGTGGATGACCGTCGGCGCCGCGCCGTGCCTGGCCTTCCAGCCCGCCACCAGGTCGTAGGCCTCCTCGTGGGCACCGCAGCGGCCATGGAGTTTGAGCATCGCGACGAGCGTGATCTCCGAGGGCCTCAGGCCACCGCCGACCAGCTCCGCGAAGAGCCGCTTCCCCAGCGCGTGGTCGCCCGCGTGGCGGCAGCCCTCGAGGAGGTGCGTCAGGATGATGTCGTCTGGGCTGAGGCCAGCGGCCTTCAGGTCTTCGAGCAGCTGCAGCGCCTTCTCCAGGTCGTGCTGGTCCACGAGCGCCCTGATCATCACGGAGGACGTCGCGACGTCCGAGGGCGCCAGGCCGTTCGACTTCATGTGGTCGTAGAGCTCCATGGCCTCCGTGAAGCGACTGGCCCTCGCGAGGGTCCTGAGGAGCATGACGCACACGCTCTGAGACCGTTCGCGCCCGATGCTCAGCAGCGCGTCCACTGTGGCCTTGGTCGAACTCACGCTGCTGCACTCGACGCACGCGTCCAGGAGCGCAGAGAAGGTGATCCCGTCGGGCTCCAGCCCGTGCTCGACCAGGGCGCGGAAGCACCTGCAGCACTCCTCGACCGAGCCGGCCCGGGCAAATCCCTTGAGCGCCGTGTTGTAGGACACCACGTCGACAATCCGCTCCTCCTGCAGAGCAGAAAGCGGCATAAACATAAGCTTCCGAAGGTCCGCGCGGATCTCTTGGATCGGTGCTGGACCCCTCTCACTGGCGCGCCAGTGGCGACGCCGGAGGCGCCGCCAGGGGAGCCCAACGCCGATCCAAGAAATCCGTGCGGACATCCGACACTTTATTCGGTGAAACGTAAGATTCGGGTTCGGGGCACTCGGGTTGGCCTGACGGGGCAATCATTAAGATGACGAGACCCAGTCTGAAATTTGACGCGACCTCCCGCTGCAACATCTCACGAACACCGAACCGTCGAATGCCAGGGCGCGCTCGTCAAAAAGCGAGGGCGAACCCGAGGTCCGGCGTGCCCGAGCCTTACGTTTCCCCGACTTGTGCTCGGGCCGTCACCTCGTCTTCGATCCTGGCCCTTCTCGAGGCCGTGCGCGTCCCGGATGACGAGGGCAGCCCGCTCGGGCTGCCCCGCCTTGGCGCAGGCCAGCAGCAGGAGGTTGAGCATCATGCTGCTGGCTCTGCCGCCGAGGCGTCGGAACGCCGCCTCGGCGGCGTCCACGTCCCCCAGGGCCGCGAAGACGCGGAAGATGAGCACGTGGTCCTTGGTGTCCAGGTCGGCCCCGGCGTACTTCGGCAGCATCGCCGCCGCCCGCTCCGGAGCGCCCGCCTCGAGCGCGGCGTTGATGAGGCAGGAGTACACGACCCTGTCCTGGGGGACCAGGTCGCCGAAGGCCTCGTGCGCCGAGAGGCAGGTGCCAAAGTGCTTTCTGCTCGACAGCATCCTCAGCGTCGTCTGCCAAAAGCCCAGCGTGACGGGCGCACCGGAGCGCCTCATGTCCGACAGCATGCGCTCGACCACGTCCAGTTTCCCAACGCGCACGGCCGACTGAATGAACGCGGAATACAGATCTTCGCCGAAAGCCCGGCCGGACCCGTCGCGCTCAAGGGACCGGTATATGTTCAGCGCGCGGGTGAATTCCCGCTGCTCCTGGGGATACCCCAATGATACCGATGCCGCTACTCCCCGACCTCTCAGGGAGCGCTTCCTGACCAGGAGCTCGAGGCGAACCCGGCGGCGGCGACGAGGGCCTCCCTGCAGGCCCGAGACGTGCGCCAGGGCCGGCGGCATCGGCGTGCCCCTTTCCTCCTCTCTGTGGGCTCCAGGTGCCCCAGCATCCGCTGCTCCGGCGACGGACCTGAGCCCACGCGGCGGCCGCCGCTGGCTGCCCGCGGCCCGTGCTGGCCCTCGGCCGCGTGCTCCACGCGGCCTGAGGGGGGAGGAGGAGGAGGAGGAGGAGGAGGAGGAGGAGGGGAGGAGGAGGGAGTATGGAGGAGGAAGGAGGAGTGAGGGGGCGAGGAGACTGGTGATTTCCTGGTGAGGTGCAATGCGTCTGCGCTGAGTTTACTGGAGTATGAGTAGGGAGCGACGTGTGACAGGGCGGTTTAGGGGCGTTTGAGTGAGGCAGCGCAGTTGCCTGGCTCGGCTGATCGGGTCGGGCACGCACGGCCCCTGTTCGCCGTCCCTTCGTGCCGCTCTGCATCTTCGCTGCGGCTTGGGGCTAGTGTTGCAAAACGTTTCCTAGGTGTCACCGAGGCTTGGCGGCCGTAGCCGCGTCATCTCCTTCTTCTTGCCCGAGCATCTTTTCTGGTGGTACCCAGGGCGGTCGTAGAGGCCGCAAAAATCAACCTCCCTCTTGTCTTGTCGAATTGAGCATGAGAATGAGAACTAAAAACAATAACAAAAAAATAGAAGATAATACACACAGAACCACGAATACAGGCCAGATTTTGATGGCAACCTGGCAGTCTTGGGCTACGCCGTCAAGCACGGCCGGAAGAGGAAACACCACAGGAACATAAGCTTTCGGAGGTCCTCGCGGAGCTTCGCGGATCGGCGCTGGACCCCCCACGATCGATCCAAGACGCCCAAGAGGGCCCCAAGATGGCCCAAGAGGCTTTCGAAGACCCCCAAGGAAGCCCCAAACGTCTTCCCAAGAGGCCCCAAGAGGCTAAAATCCATGCTTGTCCAAAGATTTTCAATGTTTGGGGGGTCCTCGACTTTTCGAGCTTCCAACGCTCCAAGACGGCCCAAGAGGCTCCCAAGACCGCCCCAACTCCCCTGGCACGCGGAGATCGCGCCAGGGGCGGCGCTGGCGGCGCCGCCAGGGTGGCCCAGCGCCGATGCCAGAAGAACCGCGCGGACCTCCTGAAGCTCATGCTCGTGCCGTCTTTTCTCCTTCGAGATGGCGAAGGAGAGGCCCTTGGCGGACAGGGCGGTGGTGAACTCGAGGCTGCCGGCGCAGGCCGCCATGTCGAGAGTTCGATCGTGAATCCAGCGCCCCTAGCGGGACGGGTGTGCTGTGGAATCTGGCGCAGAGCGGGCTCTGCTGAAGAATAGAAGGACTCTCTCGGAGACCGAGCTGTGATGGGCGCACCTCGAGAGGGAAAAGTGAGGACGTGAGGGAGGAGGCGGCGGCGCAGAGGGAATGTGACAGTAGAGAAGAGGGGCGATATCGATAGTATAAAGGAGATGTGTAGAAGCGATCGGCAAGCTAGGTTCGCGCGAGCGCGCCACAGCTGCCATCCTATCCCTCCCGACCATCCCTTCCCATTGCATTGAACCCATTTGTCGGATAGGGCCCGTCGCCTACTGCACAAGGGGAGATGGGGAAACATGGGGTCAGTATCTAATTGCAGATCTCACGAGAAACCGATCAACCGATCGCAATATATGTATATATATACACATATATACACATACATAATTACCTACATCTACATCTGTATATATATATATATGTATCGATCGGCCTCACTATAAATTTATATACGTGTGTATACATATATACATTCGTAAACAATTACATTTACACATGCATATGTATA